GGCAGGACAGAAGTCAGTGGGATGGGGCATACCTATGCTGTCAATTACGTTTATTTTGTAATGTTTCACAGAGGCATGTGTATACCAAGCCGTACGTGTTGGTTGTTCGGATCTCTCCGAAGAATTGTAGAGGCAACGGTGAAAAGTTCCTTTCAAAATCTCCTGAAGCCCCCAAGCCTGTGTTTATCGGTTATTCCTGCTAGCGTGCATAGGCTGATTTTTTTTTTACATTCATTTCACTACAGGTCCACTACTGTCCCTGGTGATCCACAAGCTTCAAACAGGAGCACAAACTCCACAAACTAACGCACGGACTAAAATCTGTTGATTAATTGTGCCTCTCTTTCCGTGTCCACGTCAATCAAACTGACAGATCTAGACCTCTCCCATAAGAAGTGGTTTTTAGTTGTGAATCATCTTTGTGCTTTTGTCCACTGTCGCTTTTGTGCCACACTGTGTCCTATACAGCTCGATCTCCGTGCGCTCTCCGGCAGTGAATTGAATGCTATAGATTGCATTTCACTATCGGATCTAAAGGCATGAAGGGAAACATCACTCCCCTCATTATAACAGGCGATTGCAGTAATATCTAGAACAAGGGAACAGAGAGGAAAGTGAAGCGTCCTTGGTAACCAATCAGAAGGCCGCTCCAGTACTCTATACGAATTTCCCAACTGAGTATGAGAATTTTGACAGGCAAAGGAATAAAGGATCGGGCTCCTGACACCAACTCGTGTAAGGCTCTGCTTGGATTGGTGATAGCAGCCAAAGGGTGGCTCTGCTCTCCGTGTTAGCTCTTTGTCACAGCTTCTATTGGTTCTCACCCTGTTTATCACGCTGGTCGGAGCCATATAAATAATTTCCCTTCTTCCCCTTGCACTGAAAAAGTTCCTGCTGTTTCCCTCCTCCAGACAATACAGGCAGGAACTGATTATGTCAATATCCGAGCTAAGCGAAAAGAGCCATGGGATTATTTCCTCGCACTGAAAGATGCCATCGAATGCTTGAAATAGGACATTGCTCTTTGGCTAGCACAGCTGAGGAGATTTTAAATATTGACTTTTTATTTCAGGGCGGAAGCCCATTGGCTAGGGACTGAGAAAGTGACTTGGACAGGAATAATACCTACCTCGGTTACAGCCACTCTTGGTCATTTCTTTAACCGTCAAGAACTAAGATTTCCACTCAAAGCCTAAACGCCACTCAAAGCTTACAGATAGCTCAATCTCCCTGCTTTTGACAACCGTTTGTAACTTTTTCACAGCTAAATGGATTGTGAGGGGTCAAAAGTTGTCAAGGTGCATTTGAAGATTGAGAAGAATATGTATAAACGAGTGGTAAGGGGAATATGAAGAGAGAGTAGGTTCATTGTATGTGTAAACTGGTCAGGGCATTTTAGCATGTGAGTATTGCAATTGGTAAGATCTCCAACTGGTTAGATAGGCATAGCGCCAGCGGTGAAGTTCATGCAGCTACTGATTTTCACCAGCTCAGGGGCTGGCTATCAGTTTGGACCGTGTTTATGCAACACACCGCACACATAGAGAGGGAGAATGAAGAGAAAATCTCATATTCTGCTTCAACGCTAGAGCTTCTTTAAAATATCTCCGTATAATAAAAACAGCAGGAGTACAGTATTGCATAATGGCTGATGATGACCCATTATGACTAGACGGCTGTAGCCCCGGTTGGTTCACCCTAGCTGAAGTTTTTGCTCCTCCGCCCATTGGCCGACTTTGGAAAGCAAGCGCTTCTAACAGAGCCCTCAAACACGTCGGTTCAACCATTCTGATGTGAAATGAACTGTTCACAGGGCTATTTTTACTGTGGCAACAAAAGCAAATCCCCTTCAAAGTTTCCCCAAGCGCCTTCCCCCCGTGATCACTGACATAGGACTCCTGATAGGGGACCGTATGAATGGCCTGGGGCGTGCAGCGGGGTTCTCCCTGGCGCTCTGAAGGGATGGGGGCTGCCCCCACTGTTTATTCCTCTGAACCTAGGCTGGACCGTCGCGCTGAGTCTCCCAGCCCAGATCTGTCTGTACACACCTCAGCCGGCTGGGAACGTGTGAAAGCGCGAATGGCGTGTGTGGCACTTCCACATACCACAAAGGTAAGTCAGACCCAACCCGCCGAAGTGCAAACAAGGCGAACGAGTTCCCCCTGACTGGCAGGCCGGCTGGTGGGGGGACACAGTCAGGCAGATCAGGCGGTGGTTAGGCAGAAGTAGCGTGTCAAGAAGGAAACACGCAAATGACAGACGATACGTCTTTCCTCACCTGCCCTGTCTCCCTCCGCTCCCACCCCCCAAATCTGGGCTAGTTGAACTTCTCAAAAACGTCCTCACTGCAACACCAGCACCGCCGCAGGGGGGATGAATTGTTGACAGAAGGGCTGGGTGGGGGAGGGCTTAGGAGGGGAGAAGTTTTTGTTTCCTTGCCGAAGAGTAAACAAGCCTTGGGCAGGAGCTATATGTGCAAACGTAGGCGGGGGCGCAGGGGGCTGACCCCCTGTTTCTTTTGACAGGAGTGATGTTGACACTGCTCTAGGTCCGAAGCGCAGTTGCAGCGTGGCGAGGACCCCAGCCCTTCCGGGGTGTGGAAGGACGTTTGGAGCATCCCCAGGGCCGAGGAAAGCGAGAGACGCACGTTGGGGACTTAAAACGGCCCCGCTGACAACAACCGGCCCCAGCTCTCCCAGAGCGCAACTCCGCGAAACCTCCGCGTCTTTCTGGGACGCGTCCTCGGTGGCGCAGGGAGGCGGCAGCGCTGGGATCAGGAGCCGAGGCGCCCGCTGTCCAACTCAACAAGTGCGTGTGGCGGGGGCGGCAGGACCGGGGCCCTGGCCACGCTGCTGCACTAGACTCCCTGCCCGGGCAGCAGGAAGGAGCGGGCTTGCGGCGCCGGACGGGAGTGGCGTTTCCAGCCCAACTTCGCTGGCGAGCGCTGCGCAGACTCCGCTTCCGCCCGCCAGGGCAGGCGCTGGTGTCTCCACCCCCCTTAACCTGCCGGAAAGTGAAAGGGAGGGGCGTGCGGTCTAATCAATGGCTGGGGGTGGGAGCCGGCGCTCCCGCGGTCCCTCCCTCTCACTAGCCCCGGGCCCCACGTTCCCCTGCACACAGATCCACACACGCACGCTGCCCATGCCACACGCCGCCAGCCCCCGTGCGCACCCGGAGAGCGCCTTACCTGCCTGCCCGCTGCACAGGGGCAAAAAGAGGGAGCGACTGAGACTGCGGCAAGCCACACAAGGGACTATATAACCGGCGGGGCTTCTGCTTGCCTGCGATCGCCAGGCCGTTTGATTAGCGACCCCCTCGTCTCCTTCCCCCGCTCTCCCCCCCTCCTGAGCCACGCTGAGGCGAGGCAAGCCCGGAGAGCCCCGCCGGCAGGAGAACGGAGGAGGAGCCAGGCAGGGGGCTAGAGAGCCGGAGTGGAGCCGCCCGGGAGCCCGCATGAAACTTGGCGAAGTTAGTTGGAAGCTCTGGGAGCCGCCTCCGAGCGAGAAGTTGGAGCCTGATCCCGGGACGCGGCGCTGAGCTCAGACCAGAGCTGGGGACAACTTCTCTCCCCCGCCACCCCCACCACCACTCCCGCCCCGGCGAAGGAGAGGGAGCGAGGATGTCCGAGGAGAGCGCGGCTCGCAGCGGCTCGCCGGCTGTACACATCTGGCTGTGAGAGGCAAGGACCCGGCGAACCGCCCGCCTCCAGCCCGAGCGGAGCCAGGGAGGGACGCGGACAGCTCCCGCCGCCCCACGCTGCCAGCCCGCGGGCTGTATGCGGGCTCGCCATGGCTAGGACACTCTGATCGTCCCTCGGCTCGCCTGGCCCGAACGGGACCCGCCGCCTCTGCTCGGCACCCCCCGGCCGCTGTCAAATGAAAAGTCACCGGGAGGACTGGAGAGAGCTGAAGAGCGAGGGGAGGAGGGATGTTCGCGCTCTCACCGGGCTCCCTTTGAACCCCGGCCGCGGCAGCCTCCCAGCCCAGAGCTGACAGCTTCTGGCTGAGAAAAGAAGGAGACTTAGGAGAAAAACGGAGGCCGGCTGGCCCAGGGCGGGCCAGGCTGCCTGGGGGGC